AATTTACTATAGGTTTCCTACTTTCTAAGGTATAGATGAACTGATTCTGGGTGCTCATCTAATATACATATAGATGTTTATATGTAAATGTATGAAAAGGATTTAAACAGGAGTTTTTTAGGTGAAAAGGATGAAAAAATCTTGAGTATCAATGTGGGTAGAGGGAGGTTTTAAGATGGATTCCCATGGAAGAATGGCATTCTACTTAATTTTTTTCATCATAGCTTTCGGCTTTTAAAAAAAGGAGTAATCTTTTCAGCTAGGGTTTGAAACTATATTTTGAGTCATAAAATTGACCACACACCCTTGAATTTTTGAGACATTTTAAGTGAAACGAGGCAGCTCCTGCTTGTATGTGTTTGAGTTGCTCAGGTTTTAGTTGGTGACTATTTGTAATATTTGTGAGGGTTCCCTTGCCTGAAAGAAATTTTAGTTCAGCTTCAGAGTAGCTAGAGGTAATAGCTGAAGAACGCCAGGTTTCTCTGACTCCTGTCCCTCATTCTTGTTTTAAAAGCCAGAAAAAAAAGAACATGTTCATTGAAATCTCGTAAAAGTTTTAGTTTTACTGCTCCGTGGAACTTTTTAGTTAATTTATAGAGGTTATAAAGTATAATCACTGTGACTGAATCCAGTTATAGATATTGTTATATAGTTAATGCTGGAAATTCTGGATTTGTATCAGGAGGATTTGGCTGCTCTGTCTGGGCAGTGTTTATAGCCAAGATAAAATAAAGGTTTGAAGGAAAAGTGCTTTTTTGTAATCATTACTTTAGTGAAGTAGTATGAATGTTGATATTGTATCTTGGACATATTTTACTTGTATCAACAATATTTTAGTGCTCGCTTTATTTTAGTCTCACATGGTCTTTTGTTTATCTCTGCTTGTCCCTCTTCAGGCTTGTTGGATGGGGCAGCTGCCTCTTTCCAGCAGTCAGTGTGTTAAAACCTGAGCTGTCAGTCTATCATGGAGCCCACACAAACAAAACATGATCACTCACCCACACCCTCACACCTAGGGGTAATTTAGAGTCACCAATTAATCTACCATGCGTTACTTTGTGCTGTGTGGGCACACCGGAATACCCAGGGGAATCCTGCACACAAAGAGGAATAACATCCAAACCCTGGACAAGAAAGCCCTGGGTGGGATTTGAACCCAGAACCTTATTGCCTCCAGGCAGCCAAGCTACCATCTGCATCATCATGCAGGCACATTTTCTGCTTACAAAAGGAAGTGATTGAATTTGGGTTTTCTTTGTTGCCACTTAGCTTGTATTCATTGGAGATGGTAATTAAACATGTGTTGTTCTCATACCTTCAGTGCTCTTTGTTAAACGTCTGTATGTGTCTGGTATCCTGTCGGGAGAAGTCTGGACCAGAATCATCACCCAGTCTTCTAAATTGCTAGACATATGGCACAGGCTTTGTGTCAATTGCACTCTGTGGGGTTTCGATGAACACAAGGTAGATTTGATTTTCCTCTACTGTGTCTCTCAGCTGCAGTGAGATGCAGAATTTCTTTAGTGAAATGCAATAAAAATGTAGAAAACTGGATATCCTATCATATTTCTCCTTCCTGTTCTATGCATTTTTTTTTCTACTCAAAATAAATGGCAAGGCTTTCATTCTCTTTTTAATGTGACAAATCATGCTTAAGTGATTGGGAAAGACTTAGACCGAAGACGTATCCCTTGTTGTTTGCCAAAGACGAACAGTCGGAATAATCGGATTTGCCTTAGTATTAGCAAGTATTCCAAACGGATGAACGATTTGCCTCTCAGTTGATGTTGTTTTATTCAAAGCCAATTATATATTGTCTGGGAACTTTGTTACTAATCCAGATGTTAATTTTCCTCCCTTTCTCTTCCAGTAGATTGTTTTACCCTTGGGATTTTACTTTTTACACGTTCATTTACATCTTAAACGGATCAGACTGTGTAGAGTGAAATCTAATTCCTAACGTCTGTTATAAATGCATTCTAGCTCATTTAGTCCCTAACTGCACATTATTTCTGCATTTATTGACAAAAAAAGATTTGTTTCCCTCTATTTTGATGAATTACTGTCAGGTCTGAAGCATCATTACAAACTATCAAACTTTATGTTTTAGTACCTTAAAATTACAGAGATCAGTGTATAGTGGATTGCTATGTGACGGATAAGTAAAAATTATTGCGTGACTTAGAAGTAGGTCCAGATTGATGCATAGTTCATGTGTTGTGTGAAGGCCTTAGCGGTTTTGTGGGAGATCATTGGTGAACAATCAGCATCATGAAGAACAACAAACACACCAGAAACTTAGAGATACAGACGGGTCTAAAGCAGATTTGAGTTATAAAATGGTATCCTAAGCTTTGGACATTATTCAATAAAGTTCCACGACTCAGGTGGGAGGACCTGTGAAAAGTAAAACTTATTAGTATTATTTATGGACTACAAATCTGCCCATTTAGAGCACAATACAACCATCTAGAAGGTCCAGTGGAGCGAAATGAACTGCTATTGCTTAATTTTTCAGAAGTAAAAAGTGGGACTTTTCTTGATTGCTGAGGTTGAGTTTCTTTTGTAGTATAAAATATTACGGACAGAAATACCGTTGTTTCTTTGTTCTGCCCAGCTTGCCTAAAACAATATATTTTTCTGTCCTGGCAGGTTTTATGTGCAGGTCTACAGTGCTACAGTGAAATGGTTTCCATCAAAGCTCATTCATCTTTCAGAATGACCCAGACCTAAGTTCAGCTGAGCAGAAGTGGTAGTACCTGAACATTGATGTACAGACACTGTCCATTCAATCTCAGTGAGCTTGGCTTGTCTTCCAAAAGGGAAAGGCAAAAACTTCAGTTTCTGTTTACAAAGCTTGCAGACACAAACCTCCAAATATTTGTGGTTTTACTCGCAGTGGAAGAGTCCTGATACAGACTGCCTGAAGATACACTTTTGAAATTTTTATTTGTAAAAGAAAAAAAAAGGGAAATCATGTATGATTTCTTTCCGCTTTGGAATCTTGAACTACTTGGTGTTTGTGTATCAAGTAAAATCCCAATAAAATATGTTGAAGCTTGTGATTATGTGGTAAATATAGGACATGCTCACAGAATGTGAATACTTTGAATAGCATCAGAGCAATTCTGACTAAACCGAGAGAATACATAAAACTTGAAATGGATTATCACTTTGGTGTAAATTTTTTTAGGTTTCCAGACTGTTTTTATTTAAATTTGTCAGCAGCAGTGATTTCTGCATCTCCTGATGGCATCAACAATATTTATTATTAAGGCAGCACTAGGCACTACAGACTGTAATTGGGGCTTTGGATAAAAAGGAAGCAACATTTGATTTAATGGCTGCATCCCAAACAAGGTTTCATGGCTTGCAGTATGGCTCACTTTTTATATCACTGAATCCCCCGAAGGAAAGACAGAGATGTCATCATTAGTGGGCAGTAGACTATGGTTGTGTTGACTGTGATGGCTGCAGAGGTCTATAACTTGGTCAGCCAAGTCTGTGGCCCAGCAACAGCTTTTACTGTCCATTTCCCCTGCCTGTCTATCTGGGTTCCCATCTGGACACGTGATCCAGTGCCAGTCTGCACCCGCTGAATAAATTTGAGGAGCTAATGAGCAAGGAAGCTCTGCAAAGACCTGGAAAAGGGCAGCTCTTTCTCTTCTCCACCTCCGAGGAAAAGGGAGGGAAAAGTCGCTGTGGTCAATTTTATTAACTTGGCTGACCTTAACACAAACAATTAACATTTACTGAAAACGCATCCCCTCCCATTATCTTCCTCATCTCCATCTTAATCTTCAACCTCACCACCACCAACAGCATGTTGTTTTTATTCTGCTTGTACAAAAGAAATTTATCAGGCGGCAGAAAATTAATGGCAAAGCCTTTGCTTGCTTTTCATAGACAATCGCAAGGTGATGTGCATTATGCAGCAGAAGGTCGGCTCTCTGAAGGTCGCTGACATGTTTGGTAATTGGCTCTAGGCCACAACTCGGAGTCAAAAAGCAACAATTACCAGCAGTGATTTTGTGACCTAATATGACTTTTCAGATAAGCAGACAATTTCAAAATATGCTCTTTGCCACTGCTCCAACAGAAATAAATATATGTGACGATTCATATAAATAAAATATGCCGTTGGTTATTTCTGAGCTGTAAAAAAAAAAAAAAGCAAACTTTTGTAGTAATTAATCGTTTGACATTACTGGATGAACTAGACTGGAAGATGAAATGAAAAGTTCTACTGAGCAACATGTGAAAATATTTGTAGAGAATTTTGGGTTACTTCAAATTCAGAAGTTTACATTCAATAAAATTACATATCTTGTACTATCAGAGGTTGTCAGCCTAATATTAGGAGATTAATAGCACTGAATTGAGAACCTGATAGATGTATTTAAGATATGCATCATGTATCAATCAATTGAATTAATCATCCATCAAATATTTGTCTGAAAAAAATATTATTTACTTTGCCATTGAACTTATTTTATCTCACATTCAATGTAGCAAGGAGATTCTGTGAATTTATTTAGTAGCAAACAAAAAGTTATTTTACTTTCTTTAAAGATTATCAGGAAAAACACTGGCGACTCTTTTCAGGATTCAGTACATTTGTGTGGGATAAGAGGTACAACAAGGACATTTTGAAACACAAAAAGCAGATTTTGTTTGAGAAAGTTTTCCTCTGAAGTTTTTGGGCTCTGCATCTGTTTTTTTTTTTTATTTCTTCTCCAGCATATGACAAGCAGAACAACAAAACATATTCTTACAACACATAGTGTCTGAAAATAATATAAACATTCCACAAAAGGCTCAATTGAAATGCTGTTTAATTAGGTAACACACGAAAAGCACACTTACTCTTTGGATTTGTTTCTTCTTTCTTTTCAGCTAAGCTGTCAGGCATTTTGTTCCTATCCTGACGAAAGCAGAAAATGAGAACTGCATTAACACTTATTTTTTGTGTTTTTGTGTATGTGCCCTTTCATTTTCAGAACCTAATAAAGAACTTGCCTGAGCAGAAAGAACTGAGTGCTCTAGCGGAACTAAAAGGTGAATACGAGGAGCTTGTGGAGTCAGAGCAGTTCGGCATTGTGGTAAGTATAATTAGCTCTTGCCGAGTGGATTTTTGCACAGTGAATCTAGTCATACTCATACTTTATCCTCAAACACTTTCCAACATGCACAATTAAACATTGTATTATTATTTTTCCAAAGATCTGTTTGGTCAGTAACCCAGAATCAGGATTTTTTTTTTTTTTTTTTTGCAAAGCAGTAATTTTTAATCAAGCAAAAAACCTTCAACGGCCTCAAATGGCGTCAAAACTGATAGCTCCATCTCCAAATGACAGCAGCTTTTGTTAAGTCTTTTTGACTTGAGCAAAAAACAGTTCAATCAGTTTTGATGAGCGTTCAGCATTAAGAACTTTGTTGATGCGGCTCTTTGACATCAGCTGTCAATGTTGTCTCGTGATAAAATCACCCCCTCAGGCTGTGTATGAATCCTCCCTGTTTAAAGGTCTTTGAAAAGCACGCAGCTGTAGGCAACCAGCCTGGCGTTGTATCCCAATACTCCTATCAATTTACAATGAACATCCAAAAGTTCGATCTTCTCCACTTCCATAATAAATAATGCTGTTATATTCTCTGCTTGACACATGGTATCCAGAATGTAACCTGTTTCTGTTTTTTAACTCAGAGTATTTTTTTAAACAAAGAATGATTTATGTGTTGGGAAACAGTCTGCCATGTATCCCAGACTGTACATAGATGATGTTAATTGACATTTTTCATAATTTTCACATAGTAATGATAAAAGAAAGAAGGAATTTTTAAAAAGTAACTTGTACTTATCAAATAATCATATTCTTGTGAGGTCAATGGAGTGGTGTATGTTGCTGGTCAGATATTGACATACTTTAATGAATGGGGTTCAACATGCTAAATAAAGACATCAGTACAACAAATATCTTTAACCATTTTTATTAGCTAGAATTTAGATGCACATTTTACATTTAACTAAATAATATCAAGATTTCATACTACTCTTCCTTAATATGAAGAGGATGGGGCAGTAAAATTGACCCCCTCCATCCCATTGTGGCAGTTTGTCGCTTGCGATAATCGTAACCGATCCTCCTGTACTGTGAGTTGTGTCAGGACTGATCTGGTCCAGTCGGTAAAACGTTGGCACTTCTCCGATCTAAAATCGGGCATTTTCAACATTGTCTTGGCCCAACTATTGCAGCCTGTGGGGTTTTCCCTGACAGTGAGCGAAAATGCCGCCTGTTAAATGTGACAAGGAGCCAATCAGAAAGCACAGTGATGTAAGCACAGAGGGGAATCCCAAACAGCTGACCTCATGCAACTGAGCCCAGCCTATTGCTTAATGCTGCAAATAAAGCTTATCGCTTAAAATGAATCCACAAACTATCGCCACTGTTTCTACATCGTCATCCGTGTTTGATTGTTCTAAATTCAGGTATGGTGTGTTGGGGATTTTAGAGATTTTCTTCTGGAACTGGGATATTCGTGAGTGGAGTCGGTTCTTGTGTAGTGTGTTGCTCATGCCTTGTGGCAGGACACAAGAACCGATCGAACTTCTTGTACATCATCTCCTGTGTGCTCACAGAGGTTTGGAAAATCGGCCGACCATTCTTAAATCGTGCCCAGTGAACCACACTTAAGACTCATAAGCTCTACTCCTCTCCTCTCGTCTCAACCACTGCCCTAACGCTCTCTGACTTTGGTCACTATGGTAATGTTTAGACATCCCTTCAAAATAGTATATAGATGCGCCACAAAAACGAACCTTTTATTTTTATGAAAATTTGAACTCTCAAAAACGACAAAATCGATGGGAGACCCGAGCTTATTTGTCTGCAACGAGACGATCCAACCTGGGAGTAATGAGAGACAATGACACCCGAAGTGTTGCTGATGCACAGCGTCTTTGGTCTCCTCGTGGCGAAGCCTTGTTATCGAGCCGGTCACCGCATATTATGCAGAGCAGCTTGGAATGTGGGAATCACCTACTGGGATAAATCCATTCTCCTGTCTCTTCTCTGGTCCTTTTCCCCTTTGCAAAGAAACTTTCCAAAGACATCTGATCTGTTTCTTACTCATTTTGCTGCTTGTTTGCTCAATTTTGTTGCACAAAACGTAACTGAGAGAATCCGGTTAAAGGATTTTCAAAATAAAAGATCCTTCAGACTCAGATAATACATAGAATGGAAATATTTAATTTTTTCTTGTGCGGCCCTGTACCAGTTGGGCCGCGTACCGGTACCGGGGATTGGGGACGACTGTGCTAAAGGACGTTTTGGCATTGTGTGGTTGCATGTAGTTTGAACCTGTTTGATTCAGAAAAAAATCCTCATTAGTTTTAAACTTGTGCACCACTTTTGTATTTATTGCATTGAAGTTGCTTGTTGTTCACATTTTCAATGCCACAAATAGAACAGTTAAAAAAACAAACAAAAGCCTCAAATGAGCAGCATTCATATCCAGGTAAGTGCTATATTTTTCTACTGGTTTTACTGGGGTTAACACACTCATGTGATTGACTGGAATCTGAGAAGGGAAGTGAATCTTCAACATTGTCTCTGACCTTTCCATTTAGCTACAGCTCTAATTACTTTTTAATTAACAGCTCTTTTCATCCATTTACTGAATGACTGCCCTGGAGTGAAAAACAGAGACGTTACCTTTAAAGTAATCTTCTCAATAAGATCATAGAAGTACACTGTATACTTTAACAAAACATATGTTCAGCCAGACCTGAAGAGTGCAGACGTGTTTCATCCAGATATAGTACTTCTTTTCACTCATCAAAAGCTTTCTTCTCGTGTTTTTAGAAGATGGAACGAAGCACGGGGTTGCACTTTACCTCTTGAGCTCACCTATGTTGTGATCACAAAACCCTTTACTAATCAAGTCGCTCCTCACTGCAGAGATTTTTAGTTCCCCTGGGAAATAACAGATGTTCCAGCTTTCCTCTTCCTCAGCTGTCACCAACACGCTGGCTTTCAACGTGATTCCTGCTTATTGTGTGTAAATCAGTTCTTGTGAGGTTGGACTCTGGGTGCTGATCTGTTTGAATGTGCACTCCTAACATTTGTGCAGGAAGATCATAAGTATTTGTATTGATGCCCTTAAATTCTCTAATTATCAGCAAAACATTAGTTAAATATTAGAAGGGAAAATTTTCTATAAACCTTGTAGTTCAGCTGTAGCTATTCATTCATATTCTTGACTCTGTGAATGTCAATAAATTAATCAATATCGACATTCATAAAAGAAAAAGTGAACATCAATTTGCCATTTTTAAGGGGAGATTTAAGACAGAGAAACTATTTAAAAACAAAACTCGAAGAATATTTACTGGTTTTGCAGTGCCAATCTATGTATCTAACAAACTAAGTTAATCCAATAAATTGAACTATTTGAATGGAAATAAGTTGAATAGAAATGGATGACAGTTCAAGACAAAATGTGAGGCATTGATTCATATGTCAAAGTACATAGTGCATTGCAAAAGTTTATTAATGCTGTGTTTTTTGTTTTTTTTGGTCTCTCAAATGAGGTAGACAGGTATAGCTTGATAGTGACAAACAGTATGCATTCATATCAAATTTCCTCTGTAGTCAACAAATTGTTTATTTCTTTTCTTTTTTTGCTTGAATTCAAATGTATACCACAGTTCTACTACACCGTAGTATATGACCCTTGATAGGATCTAATCTGTCCTTACACACTCACCCAACACAAATGACAAACTTTATTCAACTGAACCTTTACAAAACAAGTAAATTAGCACTAACTTTTTGCTTCAAAGTTCGCTAAAATACTAAAGTGCAAAGCAAAAACGTTGCAGTTGGTGAATTAGTGGCAATAAACCCACCATTGGAAATTACTCACTACCTACTTTCCTCTAACTTTGCAGATGAGTTCAGTGAAGCTGCTGCGACCACGTCTCAATGGCATTTTGTTCAAGCTGACTTTCGAGGAGCAGGTGAACAACATCCGGCCAGACATCATGAATGTGACGTTCGCCTGCGAGGAGGTAAAGAAGAGCGAAGGCTTCCGCAAACTCCTGGAGTTTGTGTTGCTGGTCGGCAATTACATGAATGCTGGCTCAAGGAACGCACAGACGTTTGGTTTCAACATCAGCTTCCTGTGCAAGGTAAGGCTCTGACAAAACAGAAAGTACTTTGTAGAAAAGTCATTTGGAAATTGATTTTGAATTGTTTCAAATGCATCTGTGACACGGCTAATTAATATGCAGTTACTATGATGCAAAAGAGCAGTTTTTGTATGTACAAACATACTTTGATACAATGTGCAGCTACTGTAGATCAGATAAAATCTGCATTACACAGCAATGTTTTCAGTTTTCAATGTATAGATCAGTAGAAGCAATTTCCATTCACCTAATAGGAAAACTTTTATTTATCCTAAATTTGGCAGACACACTGAGTCTCTCAGTGAGTGTGCAAATCCAAATGCATAGAAAGAAAATGCTGAAATAAACAAAAGCATACTTCCCACTGACACTTGTTGTAAAAGCTTGTCATTACATTCAATACCCACAGACTTGACAGGATTTCTAATACCTTTCAAACTAAGTTCATCGAACGAGTTAGCTTGCAGGTAGGCGTATAGTTTCTGATGACTCAATTTTTATGACTCACAACACAATTTAAATATTATGTTGCGGGAGGAAGTAAAATAAACTAAACATTGTTGCTCTCTCTGCTTCAAAACATAAACTTGTTAAATAATTACTTTTAAAGTGATCAGACAAAACCAGTTCATTTTGTGCTGACTTGTGGAGTGAGACAGTTAAATCGCTAAACATTTATGTACTGAAGAGTTTTTGACTTTTATTGATAACATTCTTCCACAAATAGAAAAGAATTTAAACATTTACTTAACTTCATCATCTCAATATTCATCTAAGACAAGTGGCATTACAGTTTTACTCTAAATGCATCCATAATATATACCAGAATCTGCAAAAGTTTACACTTATTTGTACAGCATCTAATTAGTAGTTGCAGAAGTAGGAGAGTTTTGCTTTATGTCACTTTGTGACATAAAGCCAATTTGAGCATACAATGCTGGCATACAGAAAGTCATTACAAGTCCTACAAAATTGGATTTTATGTGATTAAAGGTAAAGTATGTAGTCAGGCAGAAGGGAAGATGAAACAAAAACTATGTATGTGTATCTGTTCAGCCCCATTTGTGCCAACACTACCCTGTTGTGGAGAAGTTTAAAGTCTACCAATCTAATATGTAACATACATGAACTTCATATCTTGCACTTGCTTTTACATAAAAATTTAACTAGTTTTTGTTTGCAGCATGCATTTGTGTTTTCTCAGTTCTGCTTGAGGGCTCATTTCCCCCAAGCTTCTCAGATCAGACAGAAGTTTGGTTTTCAAGGTTTGAGAACCTACGTTTGTCTTTTTCACTGCATGATGTTTAACCAAACAATTGAACAGAAATAAACAGTTCTCTTCGCAGCCTTTGCTTGGACTTATGGGTGGAAAACCCTGATGAAAGAGCAATGAATGCATTGTGAAGACTCCCTCAATTCAATGCAGATTTAAAGCCTGTTTGGATGATGAAGAAAAAGCTCTCCTGTGATGAAGGCAGTGTAGTATTCATGCAAGTCGAGTGAATCAGCGTGGAGTGTTGGTGTAGAGCCGGTAAACGCCTCGGGGGGCTGATTGGGCCATTATTGATGGACAAGAAAGAAAAAGTATGCTTTCTCACTTTAGTCAATCAAGTAAATGGCCCCCTGGGTGTCAGGTCTAGGGTACCTAATGCGCTCATCAGCGAGGAGGTTGATGATGGGAATGTGCAGGGGGGAAGGGCCCCTTCTGGCCCACCTTCGCCTTCGATGTTTAGTTCCTCTGCTTTAATTTTGGTTTTATGAGGAATGAAAAGTTTTCTGAAAGCGAGCCTGTTCTCATAAGCCCTCTCCACTCCTGGCCACGGAAGAATGCCCAGAGAATCATGTCTGGAATGAAGCTCTCCCAGTCGCTAAAAAAACACTTGCACTAAACCGAAAATCCTCTATGTGAGACATTCTCACTATTGAAAATGTCTCAGTGACGTTTAGATAGGGGAAACGGAGAGCAGAGTCTAATGCAAAGAAAAATAGCTGTAGAGAAATTATACTGAGAAAGAGTCATAGGGATTGCTATTAAAAATTGACCATGTATGCACAGGTGTATCTTCATAAATGTGTATTTTACAACAACAAAAAATCAGGTGAAAATATATGTTGATATTCACATTAATATAGTAGTTTAAAAATATATTTCAATGCAATTTTTCAAAGATATCAAAGAAATGAACAAGTAATTGTGTTCTTCCATTTTATTTCTCCCTTTAATTGGGAAGGGAGAGAATGTTTATCAGCTCCGATCAATAACTGAACACCAAATGGCAATGATTCATGTTCAGTTCAAGTTCAGAAAAACAGTCAGTCTTTTAATTTAGTTCTTGAGTGTGTGACAGGGAGCCATATACCCAGAATTAGTACATCAGCTTGTTTAAAGGAATATCTGTCTTTTAACTTTAAATAACTGCAAGAATCACCAGACTCATTATGCACTTCCTAATGATAGCAAATCCATCTATACTGGGCTTTGGCTGAAGCTACATCTGTCTCTCTCATATAAACAGAACCAGTGTTGCAATATTTGTAAATTTATGCAAATACAACATTTATATTCCTTTTACTCATACAGCTTCATAAACAGCAATACAACATATTTGTTCTCTTCTGCTGTCTTGGTATTGGGAATTAAGTTGACAAATCAACAATGATGCTAATATGAGGATTTCCTTTTCCTACACATCTTTCTTTGCCATTAATTTCTGCTTTATTTTTTTATTTTTAAGTGATAAATATGCTAATAGGGAGACTTATTTTCTTCTAATGTAGCTTAACTTTCTAAATTATCTTCTAAATGAATGTGTTGCACTCACTAGTGAAGGATTTAGAATAATTTTACCTCCAGGCTGCTTATGCTGTGAATTGAATCATATCCCTGGTGTGTTTTGTTGCCAAAAAACAAAACAGTGGGCTATTGTTTTTCAGTCAACATCCAATGAAAATCTTTATTTGAAATTGAAATGTTTTACACAGCCCTTCTAGTTGTTCCATTAAAGTAAGATGAGATGTGACATCTTGTGACAACAGCCTTTGTTTTCTGTTATTATGTCGTATACAAATGGGAAAAAGTTGATAGAGGTGCAGAGAAAGTCACTCAGGATGAAGTTAGTGGTTGCTGATGCTCGGAACATGTGACATAAATAATGGCCTCCTTATACAAAAGCACAACATTAAAAAGGATCCATTGTTGCTGTACGACATGTACATACACATCTCGAAGCAGCAAGAGATGTATATGTAAAATCAATTATGTATAACAATATTTTTAAAAAACTCAAAATTATTAGCAAAACAAGAAGTCAAGGTCATGTGATGTTAAACATGACGTAAAAATTGTGATTGGCTTGTCATCTACTGTTTACTATATTAGCTTTGGCTAACAAAATTAGCGCTAACTTGAAATCGGAAGAAATTGGAAGTTGATGGGTGGATGTTTGAAATGACGTCAAAGCGTCTTTAAGGTTGGAAAACTGTTCACTAATAAAAGTGGTGTGGTATGGTCTCATATTTCTACCACGTTACTCTGACACCCCTAATTAAAATCCAGTGTGCCACGTTGAAAAAGCCATAGTTGCTTGACTGGCCTGCATGTGCTCTTGTGGTGCCTTCCCAAAGCATTCACACTGCTCTGACTTTGTAGAGTTTTGGCTGCACAATATTAGGAAGACCTGCAATAATGCTGATGAATGTCAGGATAACAATTTCCGATTAATAAACAAAGTTTCTAAGTGTCTATTCTTTGGACTCGTACCAAAACAAGCCACAGATACTGAGTAGTCTTTCCAGCTTCTGGGGAAAGAAAACAAAGAAAATCATTATTTACATCCCGACAACAACGTTTTATTGAAACAGTTGCTTCTGGTCTGATGTTTTGGCATTCAAACAACTTAGTTGTAGTTTCTTAATGACTTCAAGACTTTATCTCTTTACCTTCTAAAACTTTTTTTTATGGTGCATTAAACAACTAGTGTCACCAAATATATTACCAAGATGCAGAGCCTGAAGGTGCGGTACTTAAATAACTTTATCTAACTTTTATTGAGTTGTTGGAAGCTCAGCGATATGCATATTGCTTGCAGTGATCTTGGGACGTTATTTGCAATATATTGTGCAGCCCTAATTGCAGACACATACTTCAGTGAACTTTATTGAGGTGTTAAGTGTTTGACAAAAAGTAGTACATAATCATAAAGTTGAAGGAAAATCATGGATTCTTTGCCAAATGTCCAGAACACAACATGGAAGAAGGTGGACAGATGACAACAAAATGAACTCTTTGTGTAATGGAGATGGGAGCACTGACCATTCCCCTCAACACATGTAATCCACCATGAAGCATGGTAATGGCAGAATCATGCTGGTGAGAGTTTTTGGGAACATCAGCAATTAACAGTGGGAATAGTTTAAAAGAAAATTTGTTCTTTTGAACAGAAACCTGAAACATAAAGCCAGACCTGCACTAGATTGATTTATATTAAATCAAATTCAGATGTTAGAATGGCCTATTCAAAGACCAGACCTGTATGAATAATTTTATACGTGAACTTCACAGGAGAAATTGATCCAAATTTAATTTCCTTTTTGCTCATATTCAACCCATACCTGACTTCTTCATGGCAGTCTGAATCACCCAAATCCCATTTTTTGATTTATTTTACTGTCAGATGTGGAACTAAATCAGATACATATTCAAGAGTTTTCAAAGTGTCTGCAGTCAGAACGGCCATGTCGCACTTTGTCTGACTTTCTAGTCATTGATGTGAGACATGCGTCATAATTCTGCACCAGAAGAAGAAGCCAGACGGGGTAAATCTGGAGATAAACAATGGCTCCAGCTAGCAGTGCCGACGTTTAACTTCCTTTTCTTTTCTTAGCTTTCTTCGTACACTTATGATCTTCTGACAATACTGCTGTTTCCCATTGCTGAAAAACTTTTAAATTAAGCTACAGATGGCGGCATCCGTCATTACCTCCCTAAACCGCACTCTGCTGTGTGGCTTCAGTCGCTTTGGGGTCTTCACCTGTTCTCACAGAAGCCTGATTGTGGTCACATTAAATTAGTAGTATGAATGTCTACGCAAAAGAACTAAACAAAAAATAACATTGGACTTCTACAACTTGCTCTGCAAACATCAGCCTCTCTGTTTTTATCCTGATTTGCTACTCTTTAAGAGGCTGTGTGTAGATTGTATAGTGAAACTGACGTAAATTATTAAATAATCAAAATACTAAATATATTTTCATTTAAAATGTTCTGACAGATCATAATATTTCTCTTTTGAAATGAGCATCATCAACCCTTCATTTTTCTGTTCTAGGGAAGTTGCTAAATACCATGAAAACAAAGAAAACTATACTTTTTCAATTGTTTCATTTGAATATTCGTGTATTTTGATAGGAACCAACTCACCTCACATTATCCATATTTTTAAATTTCACTGACTAATTTTAATTAATCCATATTACCTGAAACACCAGTGTAAGCTCGCCCCCTGCTCTTAATGAAACTGCGGTGTGTATGAGCACCAGCTGAGCTCACTCATTCATATTTTGTCAGTGAAGCTTGAGGCAATAAAACCTGTTTATGCACTCAACTCTTCGCTACTGTTTCCGTAAGCGCTCTGTTTGTGAATCAAATGGTTTCTGATACTTATGAGAGACGTGCGCGAGAAGCAATGATTTTGTTGGAAGGTGAACAAACCCAAAATTCATTTTCGTGAAAGTAACTCGCAGCTCTCCCAATAACTATCAGACAGGACAAACTGTCAGATCCTCACTGTTACAGTATGTGTATCCTGTAATTGTTTCAGTATTACCTAAATGTGTGTTAATTAGCACATCTATTGTGTGCACATGCGTGGGCATCTCCAACTGCACCTTGTTTACCACACAGATATCCTCAGTGCAAGAACACTGAGGTGTGTTGTGCTAATTAGCTTTCCCAGCATGCCATTCGAACTGCATTGCAGCCACGGTGGGGAATGAATATGGAACAAGTTTTCTACGTGCTGATGTGAAGAATCACACAAACAGGTGCTCCGCTGATACGGTGGTGTACTTTTCACTTTCTCCCAAGTTTGAGATGCTATGTAGAACTTTTGTTGTGTTAAATCACATCAGTGAGCGCTAAAATTATTACCACTGACCACTATTTCATCTTGTGCCAGATAATTTTTATTTTTATTATTTTGTAAAAGCAGACTCCAAGCACATTATTGATCAGTTGGAACCTAAAACAGGTTCCTCCTGCAACATGAATCAGTGTTTGCACAGTAGAAGTGAAATGCGTCAGACTGTAAAGTGGGGAATTTTACTGACATACCAGTAGATTTTTTTCTATTCATTCATCGATTACATTTTTTTAAAGTTTTTTTTTTTACCTGCAAAAACTGTGATTGAATATGTATTCTTTTTATTTTTTTCTTCCAGCTACGAGACACTAAATCCATCAGTCACAACACAACACTTCTCCATTTCCTGGCTGAGAAGTGCGAAGAGAATCACCCAGAGATTTTGAAGTTTCCAGATGAGCTGGAACATGTGGAGAGTGCCAGCAAAGGTAGGCTTCTCTGTTCATACGAGCTAAGTTGTGTTCCACAGGATACGATATGTGTTTCTGGGATAGGAAAACGTCTTCACTGTGCAGAAATCGAACAAAATACAAATATGAGCTCACTTTTTCCATTATTTCTTTTATTACACTATATTTTTAGCACATTAAATCCTTCCACGTGCACCATGTGCACATTTCCCTCGACGACAGCTAGCCATCTCCGTGTGTGACAGAAATAGAGCTGTTTAGTCGGACCGTGCTGTCATTCTCCCCGTCAATAATCTAATTCCACTTTAATTCCTTTCTCCGGCGTTCGGAGGAATCCCCTCAGGCTTATTTACTTTGTTAGTCTCTTAATTGGTCATTTAATCTAATTCAACTAATTATGCACTTGACTGAGGCTGCCAGCCATTGTGCTAGTCAACTGAAATAGTCTTCAAGCATTTTGGATAGAAGGATGTGTGTATGATCACATTTGGAATCATAAGAAACCTGTTAATCAACTGAACCCAGAAAATAAATACCTGAACTCGGCAGCTATTTAAAGAGAAGGGAACTATCTTGCACACACAACACATGCAGCGGCATCCAAAAATATTCACATCTTTTAACCTTTGTACGTTTTGTCATGCTACATCCATGTTTAAAGCCATTTTAGGTTACTTTGATAAATCTATTCATGTGTTGACTTGGTCTAGATAAAGTCCAAACTTAAATCTAGTGGAGAATTGGTGGCAAGGTTTAAAACCAAAGTTATTTGTGTGACCCGACTGAACTGGAGTTGTTTCACAACGAAGAATGAACCCGAAGTCAAGTTATTTTCTTTCCTCTTCAAAATTTCTACTCTACTACTTTGTGTTCATCTTTCACATAAAATCCAAATAAAATAAGTGTCATTGTTTGCAATGTTGACAAAATGTGAAGAAGTTGTGCCTCAATGATCACATATAACTTTTCAGTGAGACGCTTTCAGGAGCTTTACATGACCTTGATTGGGCCAATAGCATTCAGACTAATTAGGTGTTATACTCAAGTACTGTTTAATCTTTTTTCTAGGTCTACAGCTTTGATAAATGTTGGCGCTTAATGATTTAACAATCTATTTTCCTGGATTCACATTAGAGCAGATGACAGCAGTGATCAGAAGGCATGTCATGTCTGAATATTGCTTACTTGTTATAGATTGCTTGCGTATCTTTTACTTATTTATCCAAATCTCTAGATTGCCTGAGTCATTTTTTTCACCCTCAATACATTCAGTACTCTGTACTCTCAATTTCAGGTAAATTGCTTTCTTAAGTGACTTTTCTTAACTTTTGATTTCTGGTGAGTTGCATCCAACTTTCACACAATTTTTATTTAGAACTGATTTAAAAAAAACAAAACTCATATTTATTCATTAATATATCCATCTATTATGTGAAACACAGCTGCTGTTTATTTGGAAAACTGATAAAATACCCTGATTAGAGTAAAATAGCATTAAAATATTTTTTCTTCTCACCATTTAACAACATGAATATTATAAAACAATACAGTATCCACTTTGCACATTTGATATGGGGAAAGCAAACAAGCAGAGAATGATTAAACAATAAAAAGTAAATTGCTGTACCTTGAGCCTGTTACCCACTCATGTGATTTATTTTTTGGTTTGTTTTTGTGATTGTTGATTTTGAAAGGCTGGTGTGGGAGAACTGCATCTAAAGGACAATTTCTATGAAGAATGCGTCAGATTTAATCAAAACGTCATCTACCCTTGCAAATATTAAACAATTAATGCATGTGATTTAAATGTGCAATCAGCCCAGGATAATTTAGAAAATTATACTTCGTCCATCTTGATTGATTGCTCCAAGTGGCTCCACTTCATAGTTTTTCTAAAGAAATAGTTTTTTATGTCAGCTTTTTGTTTAGTTATTCCATCAAAAATCAGCATTCTCCAACAGTTGTCTGCACTGAGGAACATACTTGTCTGATTGCAAGTTGAAGGCTAACAAGGAAGCAAGTCCTGCATTTCTAGATGTTGCCTTTGGCTCCTCTTTTGATTCTGCTCCTCTCAAATCTCCCTGTATGAAGGGCAGTTTTTCTAAAATAATCACTTCGTCATTACTAAGTTCTGATGGAACTCCACACACCTAGAATAATTAGTTCAATTATTTTAAGTAATCATGTAATTTAAGTTGGACAAATTTCTTTTAAAAGGTTAGCAGAACTAAAATGTTTCTTCCATCCATCCATTTTCTAACACCCTTGTCCCTCGCGGGGACGGGAAAGGTGCTGGTGCCTAACCCCAGCGAACATTTCGGCCGAGAGGCGGGGTACACCCTGGACAGGTCTAATACGTTCCTAATTTGTCAGTATTTTTATGTGTGTCTCAGTCAATTAGAATATAATTTAAAAGTTAAGTTCAGTAAGTCAATAATTAGAATATACATTTATTTCAATTGCTTCTTTTTGTTAATTTTGATGGTTCGCAGCAGATAAAATCCACCTCTTGCGAAACAAAATCACAAGACTTTGCTTTCCAATTTTCTCGAGGTTGGAGGTTTTCATTTTCATTCACCCTCTCCATTTCCTTCCACTAAACTTTTCCTCACCCAGCTTTTTCGGCAATACCATTTTGTTGTCATTGCTGCTGAAGGACAACATATAGTGAGGGTTTAACTCACTACAAGCTGGTCAGTTGTCGAGTTAGCTGTCTATATCATCATGCTTCTACATTAAAAACCCTTTATTCATAGGACTTGGATAATAAAGTAGATTTTAAGGTTTCATTAGCTGTTATCATCAAATTGAACAGAAATAAATTGCTTGAAATATGTAGCTTTGTGCAATGAATCTGAGTTTCAGTTTTTCATTTTTATTTAATGAAATAAATTAACATTTGATGACATCCTCAATTGCTGTGATGCACCTGCAGAATTAGGGACTTCACAGCACATTCAGGCTTGATTCCCCACATTTAAAACACTTATTTTCTCCCCTTTCATTCCCAAAGTGATGTACTCCATTCATGCTCAGACACCACTTCGCTTGCCAGTTTTAAACATATACTGTAGAGCCCTTAGCAAAAGGTTTTAGGTGCTTTGGATGTCTGTGATGTTTACTTTCCATCTCCATCTGTGTGTAAATAGGAAGATGAGTTTCCAGTCTAGGTTTGCTGTTGCTTCCTGTGATTAAACTCTCAGGGCAGACGCGCTTTTAGTGTATGTACAGTTTATCTACAGCAGGAACTTGTGAAATGAAGTAAAAGAGCAGTTAAAAAAAGAATTAGAAAAATGAGGTTGCTGAAAGAAGCGACGGTTTCCTCTGAAAACCTAACACTGTGACCAGATTTTTGCATAAGTCACAAGGCAGTCATCCCGCATTAGCAAGGACTCTTTCTCTCTCTCTCTTCTGCTTTGTCTCTATCTCTCTCCCTGGCAGAAATCGTGCTGCAGACAAGTATTTCCAGATGGGCTGTCCAAGCTCCTCAGCAGAGGCATAAAGAAACAGACTAAAAAACACTGCTAGTCATCCATGAAAAGTGAGAGCAGCAGACTAAAGAGACAAGGAGCTGCCTTTTTTTTTTCTTGGATTTTGAAGATTTCTTGTTGATTTATCAGTGGTAGAAAGCAGGCTGACCTTGGGACACCCACCTACTGTCCAGCGAAGTGGTGCTGATTAAAGATTGGCAGTCAGAAATGCAGCTTCTTTGATATCCTTCCATCCATGCATGAAAGCTGCTTGTATTGATGAAAGTACAAGTTGTGGATGTCAACATTTATTTAGCTTTTTTTTTTTTTCCTCGATTGGCTCATAAATAAAGAGGAACATTCTGTTCTGTTTTTGCGAGTCTGTGAAAGCTGTTTACAGCTCTTACTAGTGTTGTGTTTGATACATTCAATTTGAATATACAGTAACTGTGAGGCATGCCGGATCTACTGTACTCTTTTCATACCCCTGACCTCATCTTTATAGTACCCCCTGAGCCTTCAGAGAGGTGTCATCGACCAATTTGCCTTGTTAAATTTCCCCCAGAGATGAGCATGTGGGGACTGACAATGGGTACTAAGTCTGTGTGGTGATTCCACTCAATCAGTGGCTCAGTGACGATCTGTCTTGACAATCCGGGAAAAAAGGAAATATGACACGAATGTTCTCATAAATCCATTTAGTATAAGGCATAGCCAAGGGCAAAGTACTTTGGAGCTTGTGAGAGAGAAAATGGAGAATGAGCAAAGAGGAGAGAAAAAAAAAAAGATGAACTCTGAGGATATTAATACCACTGTGAATATATCTATTATCCACATTCATTTCAAGGCACTGCAGCATAATAAAGCAGTACCCATTTCCCATTTAAACTCTGAAGCAGTACTTGGCTCTGCATTACGTAGACAAAATGGCTTTCTGGATGGGGTGGGACACAGAAAGGATCATTTGTCTTTTGGTCTCCGTGGAATTGCATGGAGCTGTGGGGTTCAGAAGATATTCCCTCATGCAGGCAGAGGGTAGCGAGTATTTCACTGAAATCAGGAGCAGCCACTTGAGAATCCCTTTGAATTATTAAAACTGAACATAAATATCATGGTGGTTAAGAAGCAGCACTTCATTTTGTGTTTATGAAGTTAATGGTTTAAAAATAAGTGTTCTATAACTAATTTATTTTATTTAGAAAAATATTTCTTCAATTACTTTAAGTTTTTAACTGAACCAATAAATTTGTCACCTGATTTATAAATACTAACTGAAATATAGAGGAAATTTACTGAGTGTGACCTTTACTTTAAATGTGTCTGTCATGTAGCAACGATCTTTAATATTCTTGTCTTCACATTTAAGCTGTTTATTTTAACCTTGCTATGTTAGACTAAAGATGCAAGGAAAGTACTTTCCTCTTGCATGAACGTAGAACTTTAATTAAAAAAAAGTAACATTATTTAATTTAAAAATCAGTCCGGCTGTTCTGTTGCTTTTGTTAGAAAAAATCCTCACCAAACTGTTTATAACTGGAACTAAAACAT